TCTAGGGGCCTGGGGACAGCGTTGGCCTTTCCCGGGGCTGATAGCAGGGAAGAACCCTGGTAGAATTCTGGCTGTGACACCTTCCTTGTTAATATGGGTTTCACTTCCAATAACAGACCCTATTGCCACACTGTTCATTTACTTAAAGAAAAGTGTATGAAGAATTTGTAACTTAAACCAGGCCAGACTGTTTTGGCTCTACCCAACAGATGAGACATGGATATTAAAATAAGTTTTAAGAAACTGATTTGCTTGGCTCTTACTGTTTTGCTCTTCGTAGCATTGGCACGAGCTCTCTTACAGTGGCTGCGCGGAGGTGACACGGGACAAGATGAGGAAGAATGGAGGGAGGTTGCATTCAACAGCTCAGAGCAGTGAGATCTCTGCATCGGAGGGGGGAATCGCTCCCTCCGCAGGCTGTTGCTGAGAATTACCAGGTCTTGTGTAATTACTGGCATTGATCTTGTGCTGGGATATCAAGACGGACATCCCAGGTGGGTTTGTCCCTCATTTCCAATAGAGTAGCAGCTGCCTTAAGAAGCTATATATGTTCAGGACACAAAAAATACCTTTTTTTGTGTCTGTCGATGAAAATTTGTATTGAACTCCACAGCCCTGGCTGGTTGTGCCACTGCCCGCCGGCTGCTCCCCAGCCCGTGGGCGCCTGAGCGCCCGGTCTCAGTCACCCAGAATAACCGCACTGAGCAGTGACGAGAAACTCAGCTCCTTTAATTTCTGACGGCTGAGTCTTGTCAGCTTTAAAAAAAATGTACAATAGAAAATGAAAAAGGACCTTGGCAGCTGAAGGTGTCGAATCTGCTTATATCTGGACTAATAACGGGGGAGTGCCAGTTCACACGCCCAGCTCCTCTGCCGGTGGCTCCCCACCTCTGCGTGGCCATGAAGCGGGGCGGTACCTGCCCACCAGAGCCTGGGTCCTCTGGAGGAAGAGTTGCTGGGGGTCAGGGTTTCTCTGCAAACCTGACGTCACCCTCGCTGCACTTGAAGTTAAAGTCAGCTTTCAGCTGAGCACGAGTGAAACTGAACACCAAGAGCGGCTCGGCTCCCTCCCCGCTGCTGCAATTGATTATTTTTCAGCCCCCTGTGCCAGTTTTGGTGATGCGACACAGATTTGGGCAGGGGGAGGCGGCGGCGGCGTTTCAGCAGCGAATGCACAAGCATCCTGCGGTGGCGGCGGCGGTCAGGCCTCTGGGCCAGGTACCCAGCACGCGTGCGTGGCGTGCCCGGGAGCAGGGACGTACGCAGGATTACAGGCTCAGCTTGACGCCAGCGGGAATGAGACTTACTGAGGGGCTGCCTCGCTGGATGCTTCGCCTCCTACGTTAGCGGTTAGGAGTCACGCTATGAAATGAGCTTCCTTCTGCCAAACGGGCCAGTCCCAGTTTATTTTGTGACCTGGCAAACCCTCGACACGAGGTTTGCTACTGCTGCCAGTGTCTCCCTGGGGTTTGCTGCCAGAGGATGTTATTTTCTGGGTGCTATGCAAGCCTGGCTCAAGCAGCCTCGACTTAAACCTTCCCACTCCCAGCGCGAAGGAGGAGAGGAGATTTGCAGCACATGGAAGCAGGACCCGGCGCAGCCCTGACTCCCACCCAGCCTGGAGGTGCCTTTTCTACCAAATGCCGGTGAATCTTTGTGCTGAGACTCTGAATTTCCACCTCTGCATGTGGCTGTGCCCATGGCCTCTGCTTCGCCCTGGCCCCAGCGCCGCCCTCGGGGGCAGCCGGGTGCCCCACAGCTATCGCCCTGGGTGGGAGCGAGAAGCCAAGCAAACACGGAGCCGCTCGGCCTCCCCTCGCCACGTTCACACCCAGGAACAGGCGTCTTGGCCACAAGGACACTATTGTCTGTGCTGGGCAGGGGAGCGGGAGCCAGGGCTGGGGCTGAGACACACTCTCATTTCATGCATTAACTGCGTGGAAGCACGAAGGATGGGAAAAGCCGCTGGCGCGTGCTGTCTGGTGAGGAGCTGCGTGCGCTCCTCCGTGCTCCTCTTTGCTCCCAGCCCTGCATCTTGCCGTGGGATGGGTTGCCGCAGCCTTTCTTCTCCATCCTTCGGCTGTAGCTTGGTGTTTCTATTGCTCTGTTGCTCCTCATTTCCAAACGCCGGCCGGCTGCTGCGTCAGCACAGGGGAGGCTCGGTGCTTCAAGCTGATCCGGTAAAGCCTAAAAACACAGGTTAGCCACCAACTGCCCCACCAGTGTGGGATGAGCCTCGCCAGCCCACAGGCAGCCCTGGCCTAGAGCTCCTCTCCCATCTGCTGTAACTTGGGCTGCAGGGACACGGCAGAGGGGTGCAGTCGTCCAGCTGGAGCCAAAAAGGCATGGGATGGATGGAGCTAAAAATGCAGGGAAGCTGTGGGGGGCAGCAGGGTGAAGACAGAGAGACTCGGCCTCACATGCAGGCCAGATCTCCCATCCCCGCTGGAGCAGCCACAGGGAACGCAGGCGACAGGTTTATAAGGTGCTTGGCTCTGGTTTGCATTCATGGGAAGAAAAAAAACAGAGCTCTGCTCAGCCCTGTCCTCTCTTGACCGAAGCTGCTGGCTGTGTGAGAGCCACGAGCACGCGCTGGCCGGGGTCTGCGGGACACGGGCTGCCGTGTCGGCAACTTCCTCGCTCTTGGCCTGGCTCAGCTTTGCATCGAGATCAGGGCTCAAAACCTGCTTTGTTCAGCATTGGCTCATCCTAGCTCCTGCTAATCCTGAAAATCCACCCGCTCGCACCCAAACCCAGGAGACCAGCCGGGATTGATGCCAAAACCCCTCCAGGCCCTTTAGGACCAAAAGGAGATGGCAAGGGACGGAGGTGTCCATGGCTACGAGGTGGCAGCGGTGGAGGTGGAAATGAAGCATCTAGGGCTGACTACGTGGCCGCTGAACCATGCTGCTCCTGCTGGAAAGGGCCGCAGGACAGGGTGGGAGCTCTGCTCCCCAGTCCCATC